TACCATCATCGCCTTGTTGAGGTATTGCAATAAGGGTATATGTGGTACCAAGGTGATTGTAAGGCAACGACTCAAGTGGCACCGTTGTCAGAATACGCCAATCTGCGCTATCCGGTGTAGGTTCCAACTCAACACTGACATTTTCGAGTAGTTGATCGTTCAACGTATTTTTACAATCGAACTGAAACACATCACCAATACTCATCAATCGCTATTAATAAATATCACTACTAGATTCATCATTGCTTAGCCATTCTCATCACTAATATTGTTAACAAACAAAATATCACCTGTAAAACAACGTGTCTCGCGAATGTATGCTTAACAACAGATACACCGTATTCGGTAACGTCATCAGTGAGTGCCATCGGTTGCGATGAAAGGAACAACGGTCCAATTCCAGAGAATTGTGAGATTTGTAGAAGTTGCTCTTCAATATACATTCATTTGTTATCAATATAAACAATTTGAGGTAAAATGAACGAAAACCCAGATACACTTCATGATGTAATTATAACGAATTCAAATAAACATGAATAAATAAATATAGATTATGCACATTACAGGATAGCCTGCATATAGTTCCAGAAGTCCGGAACGTTGCTTCTCATTAATAAACGCTTCATATAAAGCCGTACATTCATAATCTGCATAACAGAGGCAGCGATGATAAAAAGCTAAACCCTGATAGACTTCACCATGTACGCAATCACGGTATGGCTCATAAGAATTCACTTACACGAATAAAATAATGAAATGAACCGATAAGTACCTGCATAAATATCCTGTCTTGTTGCCTTCTTTTCCTCTTGTTTCGCGATCGTCGCTTCGACCGAAAGAGCCGGCTTTCGCTTTTCAGTGGCTGTTATCGGTTGTGTCGATATCGGCACCACCTTAAGATCGAAAGCTTCTTCATGACTATCCGCGTTGACGTATTGCTCGACGGCACGTTCTAGGCCTGGCACTGACACCTGCAAATCAACGTGCAAATCAACTCCATTATTTTGACTCTTTTCAAATGTGAATACATATACATATAAATATGAAAATACTACACAAATAATCCAAAAGCAATACAACAAATGCAACCTGCAATCCATTGATGATATAATCCCCAATGCAATGTGTATCGTTCGATCGCAACACATTCAAATAGTACGTCGCCCGATCTCGCACCTCATCATCCGTATCCAGCAGGCACCGTTGCAGCAGCACTTCAATTGATTTACGCAAATCCGGACACTGCGCACCGAATTTGGCCAGTGCAGTTACCGCAGCCGCGCGAACCTTAACCGTAACAGAAATTAAACGCTTGCGAAAAATAGAATCTTTCCAGCAAATGATACATTAACATTGCGTCAAGCTTGCTTGTTGGATTTCAGCTGATTTCGAGACCCGAATTTGGATTAGTCTTAGAGCGAATAGAAGAATCCTATCTGAACTTAAATTTATGAACATTTCTTTACAATCCATGCGTATAATTATTTTTCAAAAAAAATGAATCGCACATAACAAAAGATGAATGATGATATTATCTAAAGTGGAGAATGCAACGAGAGTAACGTCAAACAAGTCACTCAACAAACCTGCGTCGTCTCGAGAATGACACGATTGTAAACGAA